CCTTCTCAAAGAAAAATAATTTTGCATTATTTATATATGTGAGTGAAGCCCCTGCCCCTGGAGTCCTTTGTATGTGAATAGATTTCTGTACCCACGTGCCCAGATTTATCCCACAGCTTCTGGATTTTGGCCAGAAATGTTCTCCATTCATGGAGGTTGCAAAGATATTTTTAATAGTATGTGCCACAGATTTGGCATAATTTCAATTTTAGAATTCTGCAGTTTCCAGTATAATGATACATCTACACGTGCATTCAGTGACACGGGCGCTGCACACTGCATCCAGGTCTTGTGAACACCCCAGACTAAATTAAATAATTTAATATTTGAATTTTAGACTGGGCAATATTTTCTTTGGTTAGGACAGCAGTTTTCTGATTAATGTTTTTAATTTTAAGTAAGGTCTAATACATAGAATAATAAAAGTGACAGTTCAGCTTATAATGAGTTAAGGATGTTTCTGAGAATACACAAGAGGTTTATAAGAGACTTCCAAAGTTTATTTTTACAGAACAGAAGCCCACAAATTAATGCAAATATGTTTTTTTCATATTTTACTGTGTTTGTGTATCTCTAGCTTTAATAATCTCAACATTGCATTATGAATAGTGCTTGTGCTTTCAAGGCTGTTTTCCAGTTAAAATAGAAAAATAACATTATAAGAGTAAAATAATATTTGCAACCAGCTGCAGTGATAACTAGGAGGAAAGTAACACATGCAGGACTGGTAATGGTACAGTTTTATGGAAGTTAATAACAAAAATACAAAAGAATGAAAGAATGTAAGTGTCCTATATATACACAGCATTATTTCTTATAACTCCCACAACTTTGATAGCTGTCAATGGTGCTGCTCTGCCATACATGGAATCCAAAGGTCCCATTTGGACCATGGTTTACACTTTCCTCTATGGACACTTTTTCTGACACTGTTGGAGGAGGAGCAGCCAGGATCCTTCTCACTCTTTTGTGTTGGCCCTAACTAATGTGGAGGATCCCTGTTCTGTGAGGTGGAGCAAGGCATTGCCTTAAGCTTTCATCCCAGCATCTGTGTCTGTCCAATGCCAAGTGGGTGAAATTAATCTCCTGCAGTACAAATAAGTTTCTTAAAAACAGCAGTCAAATAAAATTGTTCTGTTTAGTACTGTTAGGTTTACAAAAACAGCTTTTCAGATGTTAGAACTTTTCATCAGAGTTCACAGATGTCAGGAAAAAATAGCCTATGTCAGTGGAGATTGTACCTTGTGACAATAAATGTACTTAATGTGGGGTGAATGGAGGCCTTGATCCTCATGAAGAGGTAAACATAAATAGATACCCACTGGGTTTTTTCTATTTTCCCTGGCTGACCTCCAGTGATGTAGCTGAGCTTTCCTCTTGTGATATTTTCTAGGTTATATAAAAAGAGATTTTTTGTTTGGGCCTCCTGGCTGAAATGATGAAACATAAAGCCTGTTCTCAGGCTGTGGAAGCCTGATGGATGTGGAACAGCTGCCAGGCTGCAACTGGGCTCCAAAAGGAAGCCTGAGAGATGCAATTGGTGCTATGGTTAAAAGTGAAAGATGAATAAATTTTTCTGCTTTAGACAGATGTATAGAAATCTGCACAATGTAAATTTGGTGATTCAAATACTTTTGAAAAGATATATAGAGATGATTTAGTGCAGTGGAACATTAGAATTAGGTATTTTCTGATAAATAGAATGGGCATCTAACACAGAAAGGGAGTGCTATCTTAAAAGAACTATAATATTTTTGCTTTTTAAATATCTGGTATCTGAGCTAGCCTGTGCTGCAAATAACTGAGGTATGCAGATTTTGCCAGAAAAAAAAAAATACAAAGCAAGTTACTGAGAAAGAAATGCAGAGTGGAAAATTAAAAACTTGATATGAAGAGGATAGAAAGTGGAAGTCTGTGATGCAGCAAAGGAGTGGTAAAATAAAATGAGGAAAAGCCTCAAATTAAAGAAAGGAAGTGCTGCCACCAACAAGCACAGCACAAAATCCAAGAAAAAGCAGCATTTAAATAGCCTAGATACAAATAACACATTACTGTCTGTTGGTTTCTCTAACAAGATAAAAATAGTTTTCCTATGAGGCTGATTTCATAAGAAAAGGAAAGTAAGAGTATGTTTTGAGGGAATGACCTAAAAGTGAAAATCTCATGTAGCTTTAAGAGCAACAAAAAATATTTATGAACTAAGTGGGGCAAAGGTGAGACTTCTTTTTATAAGGGGGCAAAGTTGGCATACAAAAACAGAGAAATATACTTAAGGAATAATGGATAATGCAAGAAATAACAATAAAATTACATAATTTCTCATAATTTCCTCTATTATTACATAATAATAGAATAAATAATAATAGAATAAATCTGAGACTACATCAGAATATTCAAATTCAAGAGGTAAGTTAGAAATATAGAATTCTTGACTTAAGAATTTATCTTGAAAAATTTAACCCAGTAGGTAAACTAAAAGTGCATGTGTAACTGCATCTTTCATTCGGTGAAGTAATTCCACGACTTGCACACCAGTTTCCTACAGAAGAATTGAAATTTGATTGCTTTGTATTAAGGTTTTATTAGTCCATAATGTCCCATTTTCTCTGGACATACAGAAAGATATTCTAGGAACAACCTTATAAGTGAGACTGAACCTTAAAGCATGACAATGGATTAAGGATTCCCCAAAAATATTTCTCCTCTCTGGATTCTATGTGTGATACAATCATGGTACATCTTGAGAGGGCATGGATAGTGTCTCTTCTTTCTTGGTGTCTGAGTTCGTGAGACAATTTGTAGTGTCCTATTTTGAAAAGTCTAGCTTATGATCAAACTGGTAAAGAGCAGCCAAGAAGTCCAGAAGTTCCCTTGTGGACACTACAAGACAAGTATAAAGGCAGTACAATTAAAAAAAAAAAATCTGATTTCCCGTAATTTGTTTAGTCATTTTTGTAGGTAAAAAAAATTTAATCTCACCATAAAGAAAATAGAAGATTAAAAAAAAAATAAGGGGGGGTATATTGGAGCATATTCACACATTTGTATATTTCTTGTTTACTTAATGGAAAAAATTAGACTGGAGCTTGAACCATGTCTGTCCTGTGTGTATTGTGTTAACAGCAAATATTTTACTTAGAAGTCTTACATTTAGTTTTAAAAAGACATTCTAGTATATAGCTTTTCCAGCTTTCTAGCTTCATAGGTGTCATGTAGCTGAAATAATATAATGACTATTAGATATTCATTTTAGAAATTATCTAAAGAATGGTTTATATAATCTTTATACAGTACAGGAAATTAAAATCAGAGTAAGGTAAGATCTATGAATATGTAGAAAATTATTATGTTTTATGTACATGTTCTTAAAATAACTTTAATAGTAAAATTTTTGGAGTGAGTGCTCATATTCATATTGCATAGTTCCCTTTAAATATATAGTTTTTTTCTGTAATGCTGATGTATAATACTGAGCAGTTGTAGTACTGCCTGCAACTGGTTTTAATATAATTTAAACTTGTTTCGAACGATCGCCCAGGACGCGAGCGGTGCTCAAAGCGGCTGCAGTGCAACGAGCGCGTTGTTGGAGCAGGGAGCGGTTTGTTTTCCCTGCGAGGCAGAGCCGCGGCCGAGCACCCTCGGGGCTCTGGGGGTGCCGCGGGAGGGGCAGCGGCGGGGCCCGAGGGCAAATCCCGGCGGAGCCTCGAGGGTAAATCCCGGCCGGGGCCCCGAGGGCAAATCCCGGCCGGGGCCCGAGGGCAATCGCGGCCGGCCCTGAGGCGGCCCCTCCGCTCCCTGTGCCCCCGGCCCCGGCTGGCACCCCTGCCCCGTAGTCGCACCTCGGGAAACAAAATGGGACCACTCGGCTGTGGCATGGCTACGGACACCCCTCTGGCTGGTAAAGTCCAGGGATTTTTGCCAGCAAGCAAGGGGAGAAGGACGAGACCCACAGCTGGGATCCCTCTGGTGCTCCAGCGCCTGGATCCCTCCCATGGCCCCCGCAGGCACAAGTTGCTTCTTACCTGGTCACAGCCCTTGGTCCCAAGCCCTTTGTAGGTGTTATTGCCTCCTGGAGTGTGTATGTGCACTTCCTTGCATTGTTCTTCTGTGGGGACTCAGCACATGACTCCTGATGTCCAGAGTTGCAGAGATAATCCTTGGGGGGGACTCAGAAATCCTGGAATGTTGCCAGAAGTGCTTGGTGGTTGGATTTTGACCCTGCACAGGATGTGCCACCTGTATGAGGACAAGAGGATCACTTGGGGATAAGTGGTGAAGGAATTGATTATTCACAGGGTGAAAATACAAGTTTTAGGATTTTGGTACAGGGGGGTTTGTAGGAGACAAGATGGAGGAATTAGGGGGCATGTCTTGTCCTTCTCCTTTTTGTCATCCATCTTTGGTGGTGATGTTGGCACTTTGGGATTGGTTCACATTAAATTTGCACTTGTTAATAAGGGTAAAAGGTATTGGAAAGTAAAGGTAAATATCTTATACGTAGTTTTTAGTATAAAATAGATGACCGTCCAGTGGGAGGTCAGTGTGCCCATGGCTGTCTTGCTGGTCAGACTTTTGTTAGGCTGGGAGACAACTTTGTAGATAAGAATTAATGAACAATATTGAAGACCGAAAAATCTGAAGAGTGCACTCGTCCTTTGGAGCACAGGCTGTCCCAAGGCCATTCTACGCCTAACCATGCAGAGACAACAGGCCAAGAATGGAGATTCTTCTGAAATCATAGGTGCTTGCTTGTACTTTAAATTCCAGGTCACATTTCCCTATCCAAAATTCACATAACTTCTGGGGTTTTATAGACAGGATTGCTCCAATACCTGCAAAAACTTTGTACTCCTGTGACTCTGTAACTCAATCATACGTTTTTCCTCAAGGTTACTGACAGTGTAGAGAGACAACTGCAGGGAATATTTCCTCAAATTTTGCAGCAGAGAGCTTGCTATGTAAAGTTAATAAGTAATGAGAGGAGACTTGCTCTGTTACAGGAGGGCACCAACTGGAGAGTCCGAAGGCTCCTTTCAGCTCTAGGCTCCTCTCAGCAGTCCATCACACTACACGAGACACTGCAGAAACACAAGGCAGTCAGGTGAGGGATTTTGTGTCCTGAAATGTCTTAGAAGACTGAACTGAGGACAGTCCTCAAGGCCCTTTGAGCATTTCTAGAGGGAAATGTTTCTGGGGATGCAAAGATATTTAATACTAAGTAGTGCTGAAAAGAAATGTGTTTTATCAGAAAAGTCATAATAATGATTTGGGTGTATAGGAATTGCTGCCAATTTAAACACAGGCAAACAGATTGAATTTTTATTGTTGTGAATACAGAACACATTCTCATTTATATTGTTTGATTGAAAATCATTATTATTTTGTGTATAATTGCCATAATTTATCACATTTTTAAAATTTTCCAGTAATGCGGTGCTATTTGTCTACAGTTCCACTCTAATTGCACATAATTAATTATTCACTTTGCTCAATTGCTAATTGCCTTTTAACATACACTTAAATATAAACATAAAAATACCACTTCAAAGAGAATAGAAACGTAGTTTGTTAAACTTTTAATATCTGTTATAATTGTGGCTTCATAGAGTGAGGGACTGGAAAGTGTTAAAGCATTAGTAAAGTAGGAGGCCCTTATCAGACACAGAGGAGAACACTGTCGACAAGGGTGAGAAAAGAGGTTAAGGTAGTTCGGGCCCTCTTTGCCTGAGTCTTTAACAGAGAGACCAGGGCAGTCAGTTCCCTGAGCTGGTCAGGGGACAGGGAGCAGAGCAGACCCCTTACAATGCAGGAGGCAGGGCTTACACACCTGCTGTAACTTAGACACTCGCAAAGCTATGGGGCCAGATGGGATTCACTACTGAGCTGGTGGAAGAGCTCTCCAAAACACTCTCCAGCATTTGTCCTTAGTCCTGGTTAACTGAATGACAGAGGCTGGACCATGTGGTGCCCAGCTACAAGAGGGGTTGTAAGGAGCATCCAGGGAACTGCAAGCCTGTCAGCCCAACTCCAGTGCCAGGGAAGGCTATGGAACAGGTAAGAGTGCAATCCCATGGCATGTACAGGGCATCCAGGGGATCAGGCAAGGCTAGCCAGCATGGGTTTAGGGAAGGCGGGTCCTGCTAGACCGACCTGATGTCCCTTTATGACCAGGTGGCCCATTTATTGGATGAGGGAAAGGATGTGGAGGTAGCAAGGTGGGGTTCAGGCTCTTCACCCGGGCAACTAGTGACAGGATGTAAGGAAAAGAGCTCAAGCTGTGCCAGAGGTTGGGACTGAACTTTGGGAATAATTGCTTCACTGAATTGGTGGTTAATCATTGAAATGGGCTGCCAAGGGAGGTGATGGAGTCAACATCTCTGGAGGTGTTCAAGAAATGACTGAGTGTGGCACTAAATTCTGGGGTTTACTGGTGTTTGATCAAATGATCTTAAAGGCCTTTTACAACCTAAATGAATATTTGATTCTATAAATTCTCATGCTTGATTTCTATACACTTGAGTGTAGTTCAGAACTACATAACAAGGTAAATTGTAGTGAACGAGGTGGCAGTTTATCAGAGGATAAACAAAAGATCTGGTTTAAAATATGAATAATCTTGCCCTAATCTCTCTGCACATACAGTCTTTATTGTGCTGAGACTGAAGAGGGAAGGCCCCAGTTCTGGCACACCCCCAGCTGATTATAAAGGACTGGTTTGTGGCACTGTCAGAGCCATGGTTTTGCCCTTTCTGGTGAAGGAATCTTGTATGACTGTAGAGAAAGGAAAACATTTAATACTTCTTTAGTGCATCAATGAGCAGAAATAAGAGTGTATGATACAGCTCAAAATTACACCTTTAAATGCAATTTATAAAACCATGCTTTGAGAAAACCCAGTAACAGTCTAAGCAGAAGAAAATCTTAGCATCAAAGTAGAAATAATCTTCCTGAATTCAGCTGTCTTTAGAACTTAGAAGTATCTCATAATCAAGTAGTTACTAGTATCTAACATGTACCTGTTAGTCCTGGTGCATATTTATGTGCATATATATGTATATGCATGTATGTGTACACTTCTAGACCAGCAGTCAGGACTAAATTTGATAGTCTACCTGATCTAGAATTAGCATGCTGCACATCAATAATTAGTTTGCATTACTAGCATGTCTCAGATATTAATAAGGGCCGTTACAAGAGAGCTAGTTGACAAATTTGGGCAGGTTAATTAGCTTAAAAATACAATACCCATGTATATGTATTTTATCATTATTATTTTGAGAACACTAACTGAAGAACAGAGTTTAATGGGCTTATAAATGGACATGAACAAACTGTACCTCAAAAATGGTTGCAACTCACTTAGGATTCAGAATGCCATCCCATTTTCATTCTCAGTATGAATTGAGTTTGTATTGTACAGTACATAAATGATTTTCCTCGACTTTTTAAAAGGCAATATGTATTAATATTTTAAACAGAAGTAATTGCTTCTTGTTCAGCAATGGGTTTCATTTATGAGTGTTTATCCCTAGCAAATGGAAAGTATGGTTAATCTAAGTTAAAAATGGATTCTTTAAATAGCTCTAATTGCGTTCTGTTTATATTTGTATGTTTTAGACTCTTAAGATTTAATCAGTAGCAGTTCTAACAAACCATAATGTTTATTAGCTGGTTTTAAATTATTCTTATGGATGATAGTTCAGTGAGAAAATAAATGATGATTTGCCTACTATAATGCATGGTAAATAAAAGATGGACCTGCATAGAAAAGAGAAATTACATATTATATCACTTGATTTTTATATTAGAAATACAGACAGAATGGAAGAAAACTTGAAACAGGAAAGGGAACAGCTTCTATTTCTAATTTCACTTATGCAGATTCTTTGTAATTTTTGCATGCTTGTTTGGTTGAATCAAAACTTTGGAGTGTTATTGTTGTTTTAACATTATTTTCCATCAATCATAACAATTTGTTACTACGTACTGGCACTTTTGTAGATGCTACTAACTTTACACTCCGAAATCATACCTTGTATGAGGACTAAGCACAAAATTATTTCTGAAGCCTCTATTTTAGCTTGCCTAAACATCCTGAAAGTAAGGAGATGAATTAATAGATAGCCAGAAAGTTTTTTCACAATGGAGTGTTCATGTCAAAAGAAAGACATAGTGCAAAGTATATAATAGAATAAAGTGATAATCTGAAATCCCTAATTACACCTGTCTAGATAATCCATAAGGACAAACTGAAAACTAATTATCTTATGTCTAACATTATATTCTATTTAATGAGATCACTTTTTAAAAATAAACCATCAAAATATTTTACATCAAATACTTTGAAATGCAGTACTAAAATATATTAAATGTTTACAGGTAGAAGAAAGTATTGGTTCTTTTAACTAGAAAGTAATGAATCCAAAATAAAAATTTGTCTGGATTATATTGGTGTTATATATCTCTAGTCATTCAGGGCAGTTCTGCTGTTCAGGGTAACCAAAACCTGGTTGCTTAAAGACATGGAGCCAAATTCCCTGGTTGGATCTGCAATGTTCTTGTGATTTCTGGAAACAGGTTAGAAAGAGGCTATTTCAGAACCTGTTTGCCTAGAAGTGCTCCAAAAGGTTGGTCTGTTCAGAATTATCAAAATACCCTGCCAAGAAATGTCTGACGTGCTGTGTGTGATCCCAGGAAGATGGGGGTGAGTGGGCCGGGTGTGCCAGCCCCAGATTATCTGAATTCTTCCATAAGGGGAGTTGTCAGCTGTCTGCAGACTTGTATTTGCCTCAATAAAATATGATTTTATTGATGTATTCTATGAATCCAAAAGTGGGCAGTGATACTATATATTTGTTTCATGTTTTCAACTGATCTTCTGTGGATGTAAAGTGTTACAGCCACATTATGCACTTGTGGATTTCTCTCCACTTCTCTCCCACCTCCTTAATAACTTCAAAACACAAATGTTTCAACTAAATTTGACAGGGGCTAGAGGTCTCAAAAATACTTATGTTCTTACAAGCTCCAGGAAAAAAAGAACACATATAAGAACACATTCTGAGTGCCCTGTTAGACAGAAAAGAGGCAGCAGGAGATTAATCTCCAGTTAGACACTGGAGAATCCATTTAGGAGAAAAAGAGCAGTACAAACCTTCTAACTGCAAGAAAACCTTCAGAGCTTTCACTGTCTTTAAACAGCTTAATCAACAAGTCATAATCACATCAAAACCTGATGTTTCTTTTGGTAGACTAGAGTTAGTGTGTTATGAACATTTGGAGGAAAAGAATACCTCTAAATTGGTTAAAAAATTTAATGTTTCATTCTAACCTTTTCACAGGTGATATTGAAAGAATTCTTTGAAATACAATTTTTTTACAACCTGTAGACCTATTATGTTTCTGTTGCATTTACAGTGTCATTAAATGGAATAGGACTTTTCTCCTTGTTAAACTTATTGATTGAAAAAACCCAAGATTTAATAAAATCTAACTTTAAATTAGTTGCTTAAAGCCAAGTCTCTTAAAATATGTGATTTCCCTCTGTGGTTCAGGTAATCTTTTCTTATCTTATCTAGTATTTTGCAAAGCTCTATGGAGATTTTCAAGTTACCAGTATAATATAAAATTAATTTACATAAATCTATTTTACTTGAACGTCTCCTAATAAAATTGTAATGTTCTGATTGTAAAGTAAGGGTTTGTCTTTTTGTATATGAATGTTCTTGCATTTCTTACTGGAAGTTAACTGTGACAGTGAATTCTCTGCTCTAAAAAGAGGTGCTAGCAGAAGGTTAAATAATGTCATTGTAGATATTTAGGTCTTACTTATTCTCAAACAGAAAATATTAATAAAAGGCAGTATTACAAAAACAATTAGATTTTGTCCTTTTCCACTGTAGGGAGAGATTTTTACTTACAATGAAGAGGAAAATTCAGACAGGATTCCCTCACTAAGATGACAGGGGTTGTAGAGTTGGAAGAGCTCAGCTTTGCTCCTGTAAATAAATATTCATGTAAGACTAGGACATTATATATGCTTCTTAAATTTAGCTTTGAATTTAGCTGCCAGCTATGTTGACGCCAACACCTCCCAAATGT